TGCAATAGAGTAGCGAGTCTTCGAAACCGGAGCTTATAACTCTCTCTCTCTATTGTCTTCGGAGCCGGTGCTTATAACACACTCTCTCTCTTTCTCTCTAGGGCAGAGGTGAAGGAAAACGAAGAAAGAGAAAATGGGGGGTGGCATGGAGGTGAACAAGAACAAGCACATTGAGAATTGGAACGCGGCGAGGGAGAACCTTGAGTTGGGCTTCAGGTGGACCAGGCGTAATCTTGCCCTCGTTGGCATCTTCGGCATTGCTCTCCCTGTCCTCGTCTACAAGGGCATCGTCAAGGAATTCGTAACTCTCTAACACACCTACCCTCTCTCTCTAAGCTCTTTCTCTCTCTAGGCGTCTATCTCTTAACTCCCTCCCCCCCTCTAACATCACTATGAATCTGAATATCTAATTCATGGTCCTATTTCGTACTGTGAAAATCTGGATGTTGTCTACAATGGTGGTATCATATAACAGTATAACGATTTAATTCAGTCCAAAAATAATAATAATGCTTTTCTTGCTTTACTACGTCCAAAATGACGTGGCATATAATGAAATTAAATCAAAATTTATTTTCATTCATTTTTCTGGTTGTTTTTCCCCAAATGTCTGTATGATGACCTTCTTAAGGCTTCCAAACGCCCATTTTTTCTTATTGTTTGTAAACCCAACTTTTTTCAGTACTAATTCTTGAAATATTTTTCCTTTTTTTCCAGTCTATTTTCTCGTTTTCATAATCAATTTTGTTCTTGATACATTATATTGTGTTTTCTATTGATGTCTTTCTATTGTCCATCGCGGTTGAGGATTGACCATTCATTTGTCTGCTTTGTTCTCTTTTGTTTTTGTCTCGTCTAATTCATCAGCCCTGATGTTACCCCACTGTTGATTCCACAGATCTCTCTCTCTCTCTCTCTCTCTCTCTCTCTCTCTCTCTCTAATTGCATCTCCATGATTTTGGAACCCCTTCAATTCATTTATTCTTTCTATATCAAATATCCCAGGTCATAATTATTTCATTCAATTATGCAATTTTTATCTAATAATGGACCAATATGTTTTTTCTTTTGTCTTTTCCTTTTCAGTCTTTTATTTGTATATGCACGTTAATGCATTTGTTTTCCTTCTTTGTGGTAGCATATGCAAGATATGGAAGCGGGAAGGTCGCCAAGGAAGTTCCTGTGAGTACAAAAACATCAATGTACTAATGGTGTTTGATGTCAAACATAAGCCTCTTAGACCTGAAATGCTTTTCCTTTCTTCATCAAATGGTGTTTGAACTAGAATGTTTGGAATCTTTGGACTTTGTTGAAGTAGTCAAGGCTTCATTTTGTTTTCGTTTGTATAACTGGGGTAATGCTGTTCTTCTCCTTCATTCTTCATTATTTTGTGTGGTAACAAAGACTTCTTTCGACATTGAAATTGGTTATATATGCTGCCATGATTAATTATTCACTTAATGGCATGAAGCTTGGTAGTACCTTCGATGCATGTCCCACGCGGGTAAAACTGAAGAGGGAAACAATACCACAAAAACAATAAAAGTTACATTTATAATGATGGGTTATTCCACAAACAAGAAAAATAATGAAAGTCATGAATATTCACTAGTGTTATAGAAAAGGCACCAAATGAGGAAATGCTATTTTGTGCCCAATTTTGCTATTTTGGGATCTTACCTACCCTTATGTTTTCTAACGGTGACACGTGCATGGGCAATGTGTAGCATGTCTTAAAAATGTCATGTTTCTATCCTAATTACTTGGCTCAATCAGATTGTGTCAGATAATCATCAGTTTGAACTAGTTTGGCCTAGTCACTACTTGTGCTGAGGCAAGGCAAGTTATTCAATGCTTTGAATGATTCGACTACTTACCAAAGCTATTTGATTCCCATAAAACCACTTTGGAGTCTCTTGCCTTGCTTTTTTTCCTTTCCTCCATTATTTGCGTCTAAGTATTTCTCTTCACTTCTTTTTTTTTGCCAACCAGTGAAAGTAGAGGAGCAGGGCAAAAGGGTTTGATCATTTGAGTACATTTCTTAGATTTAAATATTGAATTTCCTATGTTGTTGTTGACTTTTCATTTGAAATTTTTTAACAAAGTAGTTAAAGGAAGTACCCCATTCCCTAGTTATTCTGGAGGTCCCATGCTAATGTTCTCTATAATTAAAGTTTGGAGTTGATATTGAAATTTGAGGCAGCCATGTTACATTTGTAGAATGGAGGAAATGATTTTCTATACTTTTCTTTTAGTTGGTTTTTTGGCATATTTCTTAGACTATGTATATGGTACACATTGTTGAAGTTAGAACAATATCGCATCTTAAAGGGTTTTGGAACAGATTCTATATTATATGCACTTTATATTAAAATCCTGCACAATTTTGTTGAAGTTAGTCATGTTTGATAGACTTGTTTATTTGACTTGAATTGACAATTACATTGGAAAATGAAGCCTCCCCGTGTGAATTATTCAATTATCCATTGAGCATTGAATATTGTGTTTGTCACATTTTTATATTTAGAAAACTTCCATGTTTCTTTTGATGTATGATTTTCCCCAACTTTTTGTAATTTTGTTATGTTTTTATTAGTTTTTGAAAGATATTTTTGTTTAGAAGAAGAAAAGATGCATTTATATTATTGATATGCAATATTTCTTATTAAGGCTAGTGGATGGATTGTTAAGTCTGCATAATGACATCCTAATTATTCTCGAGTCATCATATATGGCTTGAGTTGTTAGTGGCCTAGTGGGCTAGCCTAGTGGGCTACGTTGTATTGGAGTCAACAATTATGGAAAGGAAGACCTTTGAAGATCTCTATAGAGGGCCAACAAATTCCATACATGGATAAGAAAGAAACCCATATCTATGATGAGGACTAGCAGCCAAGAGATCTGCTGAAATGAGTAACCTTTAACACATTATCAACAAATTCACTTGTCAAGTCAGCTTTTTTGTTGCTTTAATGTCAGAACTTTGTGCTTGGAATAGCAATTCTATGGAAAGAAATACACTCGTTGTAGACTCTTTATACCAGACTTAAAATGCCAAACTTTGTCTTCTGGAGTCTGAGAACAGCACAAGGATGGTCAACTAGACATTAACACGACTTCATTGTGGAAACATGCTACGGGAGCCAAATTAGCATATTTCTTTTCTATTTAAAAGGTTATAAACATCGCTATGAAATTAACAGGGGATCCTTTGGGGTGAGTTTCAACTTCATAACTATTCTATACCCTATGGAAACCAATTATGAGTGCCTCAACTATTGTGAGAATTAGAGAATATGGATAGCAAACATGGAGAGAGCCTTCAATCCTTGTTGCTGTAACTTCTCTTGAATGTACTTTTGTTGCTGTCCACATGTTTATCCCAAACCTTTAAACGGTTTCCTCGACTCACTTATCATATTCAGATGGAGGATCCAATATTTTGCAATTCAGCTCATATGGAGTTCATGATATAATATGGCATATTTGGAAAGACCCAGGAAATCCAATGGATATTTAGCTTAAAAATGTGCTGCAACCAGTTGGTGTGGAGGACACTGAATATTTTGACATTGAGGATTCTCAATCTCTGTAAGCTGCTAATGGCTAGTGGATGTCATGTCATATCAAGTAAGAGGTATTATTGATAATCATGGACTCTTGTAGAAATGGGTTTTCATTTTATTGACCTTGTTAGCCACCACTACCACTTGTACATGGAAGGAATAGTGGCAATCCCTGGCAGATTATGTAAATTTAAGCAAATCCACATGTCCATAAATATATGCTCTGCCCTTTCCAATTTTATACTTTCAGGGCTCATTTGTGTCACTGAAGGTTCATTATTTCTCTATTGAATTGGTAATTGAAGTATAGTGAACAAAAATAGACCATTTCCCTGATTTACATTGCAAAATTATCTTGAAGATATACTAAAAAAAGGAAAAAGAAAAATATGTAAGGTCTGTACAAGAAGATGTGAATATGAAGGTTGTTAGTGATATGTGATATTTTTGTGAAATATAATGGTGATGGAAATTTTTTTATTATGTTGAAGAGGTTATTCAAAGTTGTGAACAGGAGTAACCGTACTTCAGCTATCAGGTTTCCATCACCTTTATGTTAAAGGCATGAAATGGATCAATTGAGATTCCTGTCCTTTGTTTGGAACAGAGAACAAACATTTAAAAAATCTGTGAGACTGTTAATCTTCCAAAAATGTCTGGCACATCTACCATAACCAAAAGAGGTGAGAAGAAGAGGTCTCCTTTCTTGAAGCTCATAGAGCATATGATGTTCATAGGGCATATGGAGCAACTTTGAGGGTTGCCAATATTTAGACTCTAAGGCATGCTTGTCGTGCTTCAACCTTGGGATCATCAGTGAAGAAGCCGCTCCCCTGTGCATGAGACTTTAACGCTTTAACTGTTTGAAGCTCAGAAATATCCTTAGAGACATGCTGAGTGATGGTTTCGACTGGTGACACCTGGGTCGACAAATGTAACCCATGGTTTGCTTCCGCTTTTCATAGTAAGCTTGGGTAACTTGAAGAGTGCTGCTTCCTACTGAAACTTCAACCTCAACCTCAACGTCTGATTCTGGAGTCACTTTACCCTCATGCATTTGTGGCTGATGCACTGGCCTAGTCTACAGAACTCGAGTTGAAAGGATTGAAAAAAATCAGTCATTCACAACCACTAATGAATGATTCCTCGAAAAGTTAAAGGATCAGTAGAATAATCTTTTTCAAAAATTGAATGGATTCGGTCTTATACATAGTCCCTTCTAGTGGGACATTTAAATCAAGCAACTTTTCGCTGAGAATGCGTGCAATTGATAATATGTCAGCAGAGTGCACGGCACTGATATGGTTCCCACTAGGAAAATAATGCGAAGGCAGCCACATAGAAACCCATAATTTATTTGCGAAGATAGGATAGGAATCCATCAATATAATCAAGTTAATTATTGGGAAATTATTAGATCTGGAAAAGCTAGACTAGATTGATCTGCGTGTCTTTCGTCATATCTTTCCTCGGCGTTGTCTAATTGGATAAAAACCTTCAACTTTCATAAACCTCGTCCACATTCTTTTTTTTCTGAATTTTGGCTTTTCTTTTTTTATGAAAATATCCTTCAAGGTATTCATATTACCATGAAGGAATTATCATACCTTATTCATATTACCATGAAGGAATTATCATACCTTTAAGTAATGTAATGCGGTAACTATTATCGTAATACAACTACCGTGAAAGCTATTTTGATAAAAAAATATGTCAAATTGAGGAAAAAGGTGTAGACGAAGTTTTTGAAAGTTGAGGGTTTTTTTTTTTTTTTTTCAATTAGGCGAAAATTATGGTATATTTTTGATAATTTTCCTTAATTATTGGTGTCCTATTCTTTTTTGTAAAGGGTGTAGTTTATATAGAGTCGAGGCTCTAAACAATCAAAGTACACCTTAAAAAGTAGTGTAGAGAAATGTAGTTTCAATAGTGGAAATCTTTGTGATAGCCTTAAAATATATTTTTATCTTTAATTATAAAATTTAAAGTTTAAAAAGTAGTGTAGATCAAGCAGATCTATGAGACTTTTTTCATGTCCATGCATTTTGATGTTGAGATGATCCATTTGAGGATATTTGGGCATCAAAAGAACCTCTTCTATTGAAAATTTTGAGGTGGGCTCTAATTTGATTGTTTGGAGCCTCGGCTCTATATAAACTTTTTCCTTTTGTAAATAATGTTGCATCATAATTGAGGAAAAATGGAGGTTGAACACTATGAAGAACATTTTTTTTATAGAAGGGTCGAACAAATTGAGTTTCTTGACCATGATTTACTCAATATGGGTCCCCTATAAAAATGGGATTTACTTGTTAAGGGAATGTAAATATATTATCTTGAATCAGCCTACTGTAATTTACCTCGCAACGAAATAAATGGAAAAAGGCAAACTAATCTCCTATTGACAATACTGAACACTACACTACTAGTCTGATTTTACCTTTAGAATCAATTTGACCACGAAGAGATGCAAATAAAAGAACAAAAAACAATATCATCTTGCAAATGTGTTAGTAGAGGTACCAAATTAGTAGCTTTAGGGATTTGGAGGATGTATGCAAGAAAGGTGACTTTGTATTTGTATTTTATGTATGGAATTTTTTCGGACATTAAACAAATCATATCCCATAGTATATTGATTATCCTGTTAGAAAGTGTTATAATGTAATCGTAAAGAGTTATTGTGACTGTTAGGGGTGGCGATGGACCCGTCGGGACCCTGGTCAGGTCGGGTTCAATCTTAGACCCCGGGTCAGGTCGGGTCTGGGTCTCATTGCATTTTTGGGTCCCAACTTATGAAATATATTTAAATATATAGGTATTTTAAATTTTGGTGGGTTTGGTGACTTCGGGTTCAGTCCGATCCAGGTCTGGCAACCCGACCTGACCT